AAACCTGCCTTTGTCTTTCTCTCCTATCAGTTTGACAAGGAGAGTGGTAAGGCAGCAGAGAAATGAAACATGCTCTGGTGAATACCATCATCTTAGTAGACAAGAAACCAGTGATAGCAACAAAATTTCATCCCTTCCAAGAGGATTACACGTGAGACACAGTTATGTTGGAGGAGTAGGGGCAGAGTCAGTTGTTTCTGCAGAAGAAATATATCACAGTCAAAATTTAAAAATAGTTACAGAATTAAAAATATTTCTGTGAAATATATTGCATTAACACCATAGGCGATACAAAGTAAAAGAGGGTGGCATTGGCCATGCTTAGAAGAAGCTTATGATATAATAAAGGGCTAAGAGAAGTGTCCACATACCACGAGCAGGGTAATAAAAATACTTGAAAGACCTGGGTAAGATAGCAGAGCTGAAAATTTTTTGGGAGATTTACAAAAGAGAAAGATCACATTTGGCTGGGGAAAATCCAGAACTGCTTTGTAAAGAACTTTGTAAAAGAGGATGGAAAGGAAGAATGCCATGGCATATGGTCTGAAAGGTGGGGAGATGTTCAGCAGGTAGAAGGGGACTCGAGGGAGAGAAAGCCAATTCAAGCAGGAGAAGGGATGTGCAAAGACATTAATGAGGACAATCGCAAGTCGTATTCCAAAATTTTGACTTTAGGTAGAGTATAGGCTATCTGTAGGGTAGCTGCAGATAGCTGCATCTAAAAAGACGAGTTGGGAACATGTTGAAGGAATTGCCTGGTATAGCAGGCTACGAAACTTATGCTCTACTAACTGGAAAGGTAAGGAGGAGTCATCAAAGACTTATCAGAACACTGGGATTGAGGGACAAGTTATATGGACTAGCAGCTTCTCTGTGCCTCAGGTTGTCACAGGCAAAATGAATGGGATATGCTACAGGCACTGCTTTTGGAAGATTTCCCTTCCTTCAAATGTCCTATTTCAGGGAGGACAAGGGCAAAAATTATGGCTGAATCAATGAGGCAACTTGGTGCAAGAAACTTAAATATTTGTGCATTGGAATAGGTACAGAATGGATTGGCACTAGGGTTATATTCAGGACTTTATTACACAGCCTAGGTAAAAAGTAAAGACCCATAACTGGGACAATCATGAGCTAGCACACACACTAGAAAAGCACACTGAAAGAAGGTAAGGACTTTGCAACAAATGGAAGGGAAGAAGGAGGAGGAGGAGGAGGAGGAGAAAGAGGAGGACGGGGGAGGAGGGGGGAGGGGGAGGAGGGGGAGGAGGAGGAAAAGAGAGGGGAAGGGAGAGGGGAGGAGGAGAAAAACACAGCACAGAAAAGCATGAAACTGAGGATAGCATAGCTAAGCACGACAGAGCTTGGAGTAATTGCTAATTGGGAGAACGACGGTCCTATTAACAGAAGTAGTATAAGTTCCGAGGAGGAGCCAGTTTGGAGCTGTGTAGTGGAAGGTTATGGATTTGGTTCGGGGCCTATTGATTTTATGGTATCAGCAGCCATCTGGGTCAAGTTATCCAGCAGGCAGTTGAATTAGCTTGAAGCTGGGGCTACATTCCTAGGAACCACGTGCAGTGGTGAGAATTAAATTCGTAGATAAAAGATGGGGGCAGCAGGAACTCCAGAGGGTGTTCTTAGAGGTGAAGCCTTGGGAGATCATCATGTTTAAGAAAAACCTAGAGAAGATGAGGCATGATTAGGTTGATTAGAAGGGTAAGTGGAAAAAAAAAAAGAAGGGTAGGTGGAAGGAGATCCTATCGTGCTTTAGAAATCCAGGGGTGCCAGGGCGCCTGGGTGGCTCAGATGGTTAGGCGTCTGCCTTCGGCTCAGGTCATGATCCCAGGGTCCTGGGATTGAGTCCCGCATCGGGCTCCCTGCTCCTTGGGAGCCTGCTTCTCCCTCTGCTTCTCTCTCTCTCTCTCTCTCCCCACCTCTGTCGCTCATGAATAAATAAATAAAATCATTAAAAAAAAAAAAGACTGCAACATCCTTTAAAAAAAAAAAAAAGAAATCCAGGGGTGCCAGATAATATATATTGGCTCCTCCAGATTCACTCCCCCATCCTTCTCCATTCTGCTTTCAGCCCCAGAGGATGCCCCTGTATGGCTCCATGTCTTTGGCTTCAGGATGGGTTTAGTCAAAGGGGAGTCTGGCAGGAGATCCAAAGGAGGGCGGAGAGGGAGAGGTTTCGTTGGGTGGCTCTGACCCTTATCCAAAGGTTGCTCATGGCTCCTCTCAAGCCCTGCTATGCATGATTCTTACAGGTTCCATAACTTTCCCTTGCCTTGTCCTTTAGGGCCAAAAATGGTAACTGCCCAGCTTCTGCCATATCTGAATTAATCCTATCCATATCATTCCCTTAACTCTGCCTGTACTTTTATAATTAGTCCCTTATAAACTTTCCTAAGTTATCCTAATTTGAGTGTTTTGTTTTTCTCTTGTCGGGACCCTGATTGATATATCTGCTGAACCCTAACATGAACAGTAAGTATTGACTAGCAGTCTGACTGGGAACATCAAGGTTGTCCTAGCCCCAATCAATATCTCTTTTTATTTACTGGAATCAACAGCAAAATTTAATTTCAGCCATAATTCTACCTAGTTCTTGGACTCCTACCCAGATCCTGCTTGCAATTGATTAAAAGGAACCTTTGGTAATCAAACTAAGATAGGCCTAAAACCAACACCACACTTTTTGACAAAGATGCTGATCTATGCATAAAGAAGTTGAGCACACCCCCCCCCATAGATAAGAGGGTAGCTTCCCTGATTCTCGATCCTCTCGAGATGGGCACAACTGGCAGTCTTGGCCAAATGCTGTAAGCTACAAAAGAATCCCTTCTCCTTAGCCACGTGAAAAGAAATCCTTAGCGCTGCCCACAGGTCAGTGGCCATCCATGGTTGGTGGTCCAGCTTCTCAGGTGCCTCTCGACTTTCAGAGCCATACCTTACACTGGATTTCTAGTTTAAAGAAGACTTCGAGGACAAAAATATCCAACTCCAGAAATCTAACCAAATCAATCCTGGGAGCCCGTGGAGACAAACGCAAGATTACTTGTCTTTTTCAGTGAAAATATTTTAGTGATGGGAATTATAGAGGGAAACTCCTGTAGTCCTGGGACAAGGAGGGGCATCATGAGATTGCTTATGTTTCTGATCCTTGGCCTGTCCCCGCAGAATCTCTAAGGACAGGGTTTGTGGCCTTGGCAGGGATAAACTTTTAGGTTTGGGGAGAGAAAGAGGTAGTCTTTGATAGTCAAGGAAGCATGTCTAAGTGGTGAATAAGCACAGGGCTGAGGTTTCAAGAGCAGCTGGGGCGGGAATATGGAGCTGTTCCTCATCTTATTATCACAAAGAGACAGACTTCTGAGGCCTCTGAGTATTTCTTTAGTCACTGGTCCGACCTGTAGTACACTTCCCCGATGGCGAAAGAACATTGAGAATGAGCCATCTCGAAGACTGCCAAGCTCTTCAGCATCGAAGGGCCAGGTGGGGGAGGGGGAGCAGATTTCTGATGAGTGACAGGTCCTGCTGTCAGGATTCTGCAGCAAGAGTCATAAGGCTGGCAGATGCTGCTAAAAAAGCAAGTCCCTTCCATTCAAGGCAGTGCTTCTAGCATTTCACAGCTGAAGTAGGGGGTATACTCTGGGGGAGAGCCGTGGCTCAGTGGTGGAGATGAGAGCGGCTTGGTGCGTAAACCTTGACCTCTCAGCTTAAAGTGGAAGCTACGGGGAAGGGATTCTGAACTGTGAAATTGGTTTCTGGGGTTGTTTATATTATCTTTAGGCTTGTGGTTCCCATAATTATTGACGTTCCAAGTCTCACCTTGAGGATCTAGGAGTGAGAATGTTATCCTAGCCATTGGCAGTTTGATGGCTATGTTTTAAGTTATTTCTTCTATGCATTTAGTACCTTCAGCAGAAATGCAGGCCAAGATTTGCTATAAATAATCCTCATCAGGATAATCAAAAGCTGTAACCATGTGACTTCTTATTTCCCTTTCGCTTTGATTTATATCTACTATGTTGTTTGAGATACAGCTACTCTTATTTATTACTACTAATTCCTTGACACCGAATCCTCCTGAACAGTATGTATCATTTTCCTCTTTTCCTGAATGTACATGAATGTTAAAAATCTTTCTTGTAAGTGGAGAAATTTATAGCAAACAGAAAATGCTGCATCAGTCCAAGTTATCAGAGAAATCCTGAAGGAATTGAAGCAAGTACATTTAGCTAAACTGAGCAGCAACAACACAATGACAATTCTGGGGAAGAAGAGGGAAAAGCATGACTGGGAAAATAGAGACTGCAATAACAGGACAGTCTCAAAATGAGAGCTCTGTGATATGAATGTGATATAAAATTCATTTTTAATAATCAAAGGTCTCATTTGCATAAGTACTTATTAAGTATCAGACACAGTTCTGAGCGCATTGCATACACCATGTGATTTAATCCTCACACCAACACTCTGAGATAGGTTCTGTCATTATTCATGTTTGCTGCACGGTGACACTGTGCCCAAGTCACACCGTTTATAAGTAGATCAAGTATTCAAATTTAGGAGCCACCTTGGAGGCTGGTTACTCCAATGCCCACATGAAAAAGATGGCACTTTCAAATTAGAGAAGGGGTGTGTGTGTGTGTATGTGTGTGTGTGTGTTGGTTTACTTAGAAATGGACAATTTACAAAGATGTGTGTAGAGATTAGGGAAAGTGCCCAGAGCTAGAGGCAGTAAAGTGATCACCTCTCCACCCAAAATGACAGGAGGAGAAGTTGGTGGAACTCTGAAGGAGAAAGAATCATGTTATTCTGTAGGGAGACGTCGCCAGCCACGTGCTAGGACATGCAGAAGCTAATTGCTAGCATCTTTTCCCAACTCTTTATCAAATGACGTCATACTGGCAGCCATATAGTTTGTAGTGATAATCCTATACTGCAGAAATCAGCAAATACTACGAACAAGAACTCTCCCTCCTCCTCCTTCTTTTCAGAGAGCCAGTTGTTAAACATTTATAAGCATACCGTTGGATACAGCGAACCTGAGGCAATCTCTTAATGTGGGAGCTGAGAAAACTCACACCCAGACCTTGTTTTCAAGATGGAAAGAAGACCCAACTCAATAGGGAGCCAGAGAACACTGGTGCCTCTTGATCCGTCCTGTTCAAACCATCCTCTGGGGGAGACAGCAGATGGAGGAGGGTGGAGAGTGAATACCTTCCTATCCATTCTTATCACCCCTGATTTCCCACAGCAATGGAGGTAACTTTGGCTGACAACTGGAAACAGTGGATTTTCTAGTAGGGTCAGTGAATTAGTTCATTTTTTGGTTTGTTTTTATTTCATATTTTTTAAACAATAGAAATTGACTCTATGTTATTTTTTATGTATCTTTATTTTTGTTTACTTTTCATATATATTATATGATATATAATATATAGTGATAAATATTATCTTTATTATTATATTATTTAATTTATAGAAAGTTATCAGATCGCTCAGAAAATCAAGAAAGAACCTAAAGAATGAGGCTCACAAAGGGTAGAACCAGGCAGCTCTGGATTATCTAAGTGGTAGGAAGTAATCAATGATCCCTTCAAAGCATCTCTGTTGAAATAAATCCCATTCCATTTTTTTCTTTTAACAGACCTTAAGTGACCCTGCTCAAGATGAACTGTCCTAGAATAAAATTTGATTGGCCAACTTCAGTCAGTGATTACTCTTGGCAACAAGACAGGGTTCCTTGACTGACAGTCCCATGGAGACTCTCATAATAAGGAGCCAGTAATCTCCAACAAGGAATTCAGAGTGCTCTTAAGAACAGGAGGGCGAATGGGTGCTGGGAAGCCAAGGAAGAGCAAAAGTCCACTTCCATCTGGGACATGACCTTGCTACAGGGCCCCTCCTGAGTTGGGGGGTGGGCAGGGAGCATTAACGTGGAAGTAATTGAGAATTAATTTTTCTTTAAAAATCTCCAGGCATAATGTCAATAGTTCAGAATGTAACACTATTTGACATTAACAGAGCTCACACTGAAAAATCGCAGGTATGTAAATAAATGTTGGAATGAAAATAAATCAGAAACTGAAAGAAAAGCTGAGATATGCTGATGTTTAAGGAAGATCATATGTCACTGTTTTGCCAAACCTGATGAAAAGATAAGTATGTTCCAACAGCATTCAGAGTAAGTGGAAAATTTACTGTTAAACATAGAGCGAGGGGGGTGAGAAGAATGGGTTTGTAGGGGACTTTGTGGTCCATTTCCGTTGTAAATGAGTGAAGAGAAAGTGCTTGACCTTCCCGGCTGTGGCCCCCTCGACCTACATGGTCCTCTCGCTCTTCTTTCTACTTCTCCAAGCTCTGCTGCCTTCAGGACCCAACACACATGTCTTTTCTCTCAGAGCCTTCCGGGACCAGCTCAATCCAGCCCAATCCATGATGAAATACCGCTTCTTGTCCCATGCACGTGGCACTTCCCAAACGTCCCCTTAGGTTGTCACACAGCTCCTGACATGTGCATCCTGACCTTCACCTAGGGTCCGGGAATAACGAAAGCAGGATCTGTCTGATGATGAGAAGTTGGCTGTTGGAGGCTTAATGTGACCTTTACAAAACTTGGTCTTTCTGCCCTTTTCTAGTTCCTCATTCACCTAAACCTTGAAAATAGGAACTGTAACCAGGATTTGTCCCTCCTCTCTCTCTCTCTCTCTCTCTCTCTTTTTACACCACACTGTTCTGGAGAGAATTAATGAGAGGATACATGTAAAAGCCAACACAAGACTTACACTCGGATGTTTTCATTTTGTCAGATGCTCGTTGCCCTATAGGTAAAGATCTCCCAAGCACATAGGCAGATTCTTTTAATGGTTACGAATAATGGTAGTATTGTCTCATGCTGCCTATTCTTTCTCAATGATCTCATCTATTTGGGCAGTTTCAGTTGTGGTCTTTAAGAGGATGACTCTCCATCTGCCTCCAGCCAACTCATCTCCCAAGCCCCAGGCCCGTATTTCCAACCGGATGTTCTGTAGACCTCAGACTCAACAGGTCCTGAACTGAACCCACCCTTCCATACAAACCTAGTCCCTCTTGTTACTGAAGCCATTGACCACAATCAGAACTGGTCTAGATGCCACTTATGCCTGAAATCCCAGAAACGTTTCAGTTCCAGCATCTCCTTCTCACCGTCTCCCACCCAGTATCCTGCTGGAGTCTCCCAATGTGTTCCTAAGGTTCCATTTTTTCTGCAGCCCCATGTCTGACCTTCATTAAGTCTCAACTCAAATCTTGCAAGAACATCCTGACTAGTCCCTCTATCTCCACCCACCACCTCAGCCCATGCTCTATGCTGTCACTAGAGTTCTGTCCTTAAAGACACTGGTAAGATTGTATCAGACCCCAGCACCCTCTCCACACACCAAAGCTTCTAGTCTTCCTGTTCTGACATATGAACAGTTCGAGCTGTCCACAATATGTAGCCTCATCTCCTCTACAGTCCCCGAACCTCAAGCCTACTCCCTCCGCATTTCACGTTCCCAGAATATGCCCTCCACTGTCACACAATTAACCTTGTTAAGCTGTTTCCTTGTCTCAAATACTCTTGCCACCTGGCCCAGGATCCTCTTAATCTGGCATCTTCCAAGACACTTCACCAATTTTAACAGTTAACATTAATTGTTCCTTCAAGTAATAACTACCATTATAGAGAACTGAGTATGTGCCAGGGATTTACATACATTATCACGGTTAATCCTCACCACCCTCCAGCAAGTTAGGTATTACAGGCCCATGATCCCTTATCCAAAGCCTTGAGGCCAGGTGTGCTTCCAAATTGAGAATGTCTTGTTTTTTGGAAAGGTAATATAGTGGGATGTGTCTCAGTTTCCCCATCTGTAAAATGGAGAGGATAAGTACTAGCAGAGTACCTCCCTCATGGGATTGTTGTGAAACAGGCAATGTGTTCCTTCAGAGAAGGGCTTAGGGAAGTGCCCTTATGAAATGCACTGTGAGGTCTATTTACTTGACTGTTATAAACAATACATAATAGCTTGTGAAAAGACCTTACTAGGAAAATAAGTGGCTCAACAAATTTGTATCAGGAAAGTAATTTGGATGATGATAAGAGCCCTCATTTTGCTGGATGTTGTGCTTTCTTTTTCTTTCTTTACTTTCACTTCCTTCTGCTACTTACCACACCCTTTATTCAGCATTTCCTATCAAAATCACAGGCCTCCTGCTACTGCAATGAAAAGTCTTTCTTCATTTTTCCAGCCTATTTTACAATTAATTCATAAGTTTCTCCAGAAAAAGAAATATATATATATATATATGCTAGATAATTATTCCCTTCTTCTCTGACAAGAATAATTTATGACAATTAATGCTAGTTTTTAGAAATTCAGTGTAAACATCACCAACAAATTCATTTGCTTTACTCTTTTATGGGCCCAGATGCAGAAGAGTCCAAGAATGTAGGGCCTGGAAGGGACCCTAAAGACCAGCCAGTATGCATGACCCGACTCTATCCAACTATCTTTTATACTTGAAGAAACTAGGAGAAGGGAGTCCCTGCTCAAGTTCACACAGCTAGTTAATGACACAACACTAGCTAAATCCCAACTGTCCCCATTCCCACCTCCCCCACCATCCCCAAGCAACCACTGATCCACTTTCTGTCACTATAGATCATTTTCCTAGAATTTCATAAAAATGGAATCATACAATATTTGTTGAATCTGGCTTCTTTCACTCAACATACTGTTTTTGAGATTCATCTACATTGTTGCATTTATTGGAGGAGTGTTCTTTCTTATTGTTGAGTAGTATTTTATTTTAAAGATATATTGCAATGTATTTATCCATTCTTCTGCTGATGGATGTTTGGGTTATTTCCAGGTTTTGACTATTATGAATAAAACTGCTATGAACATCCTTGTATATGGCTGTTTGTGAATATATATTTTCATTCCCCTTGGGTAGATACTTATGAGTAGGTTTGATGGGTCATAGGATAGATATATATTTCATTTTGTGAGAAATTACATTTGCCTAACATCTCCACCTAAAATTGGGGTTGTCAGCTGTATTAGCCAGGGTTCTTCAGAGAAACAGAGCCAATAGGCTATAAAAAGAGATTTATTATGAGGAATTGGCTTATGTGATTATGGAAGCTGAGAAGTCCCATGATCTGCCATCTGCAAGCAGGAGACCCAGGAAAGCCGATGGTATAATTCAATCTGAGTCTGAAGGCCTGAGAATCAAGAGAGCCAATGACGTAAATACTAGTCCGGGGGCTGGAGAAGATGAGATGAGATGTCCCCGCTGAAGCAATGAGGCAGAAAAACGGGGGAGGGGGAGGGAATTCCTCCTTTCCCCACCTTTTGTTCTACTTAAGCCTTTAACAGATTAGACGATGCCCACCCACACTGAGGAGAGCCATGCACTTCACAGAATCCATCAGTTCAAATACTAATCTCATCTGGAAACACCCTTACAGTCATACTCAGAAATAATGGTTAGCCAAATACCTGTTGAATCCCCTGATCCATTCAAATTGCTATATAAAATTAACTCTCACATTAGTCTTTTAAATCTTAGTCTTTCTAGTAAGTGTGAAGTTGTATTTATTGTGATTTGAATTTGCATTTTCCTGATGACTAATTTGTGTTTCCCTGTTGAATTTTTATGTGATTATTGGCCATTCCTTATACCTTCTTTGTGAGGTGTCTATTCAAATCTTTTGCCCATTTTTAATCTATTATGTTTGTCCTTTTAATATTGATTTATAAAAGTTCTTTTTTTTTCAAAGGTTTATTTATTTATTTGAGAGAGCGAGAAGGAGAGAGAGAGAGTACATGAGAGGGGGGAAGGTTAGAGGGAGAAGCAGACTCCCCACTGAGCAGAGAGCCCAATGCGGGACTTGATCTCGGGACTCCAGGATCATGACCTGAGCCAAAGGCAGTTGCTTAACCAACTGAGCCACCCAGGTGCCCCGAAAAGTTCTTTTTTTTTAAAGATTTTATTTATTTATTCATGAGAGAGAGAGAGAGAGAGAGGCAGAAGCAGAGGGAGAAACCGGCTCCCTGCAGAGCAGGAAGCCCAATGCGGGACTCAGTGCCAGGACCCTGAGATCATGACCTGATCTGAAGGCAGATGTTTAACCAACTGAGCCACCCAGGCACCCCGAGTTATAAAAGTTCTTTATGTATTCTGAATACAAGTCCTTTGTCAGATATGTGTGTTACAAATACATTTTTCCAATAGGTGACTTGCATTTTCATATTATCAAAGACGTCATTAGGAGAGCTCATTTCAAAAATTGTAATGAGCTCTAATTCATCATTTCTTTCTTTCACGGTTGTGGTTTTTTTTGTATCCTATCAAAAACACCCTTTTTTAACGTACTCCAGTGTCACAGAGATTTTTCTTCTATTTTTTTCCAGAATCTTTATGTTTTAATTTTTGTATTTATGTCTATGACCCACTTTGACTTATTTTTGTGGATGGTGTGAGGTGAGTTGAGGTTCGTTTTTTTCTGTATAGATTTCTAGTTGCTTCAGCACTGTTTGTTGAAAAGATTATACTTTCCCACTGAATTATCTTCCTACCATTGTTGAAAATCAAGGGACCACGAATGTCTACCTCTCTTTCTGTACCCTGTTCTACTTTGTTGGTCTATATATCTATTGTTAGGACAAATCACAGTGTCTTGATTACTGTAGCTTTATAGTGAGGCTTTAAATAGGGTAATTTCTCCAAACGTTTTTTCAAAATTATTTTGGTCATTCTTGGTCATTTTCCAATAAGCTTGCCAATTTTTATAAAAAAGACGGTTAGAATTTTTATTAGAATTGCATTGAATCTACAGATCAATTTTGGGAGAATTGACAGTCATTCATATTGATAATATGAAATCTTGTAATCCATGAATATGGCATATTTCACCATTTATTTGAATCTTTAAATTCTCTTGGTAGTATTTTGTATTTTTCAGTGTTTAGGCTTTGCACATATTTAATTTTCCATAAGATTACCTTTTTATGTTATAAACAGAATTTTAATTTAATTTAATTTTTTTCTAACTTCATTTTTTGTTTGTTCCATTGTATAGAAATACAATTGATTTATATATATTAACCTTATATCTTGAGCACTTATGAGTGCTAGTAGCTTTTTTCTTGGTTCTTCAAAACTTTCTATGAATAAAATAACTTCATTTGTGAATAAAACCAACTTTACTGCTCAATTTTCAGTTTGTATGCCTTCTGTTTCTCCCTTTCTTTCCTTTTGTTGTTTTTTTGTTTGTTTGCTTGTTTTATTGTCTTGCCAGAATCTCTAGCACAATGTTGAACAGAAATGGTGAGAATGGACAAGTTCGCCATATTGTCAATTCTAAGAAGAAAACATCCAGTCTTTGAACACAAAAGATGATCTTAGCCTTAAGCTATTTTTTGTTTTGTTTTGTTTCATAGATGTTCTTTATCAGGTTGAGAAAGTTACTTCCTATTCCAAGTTTATTGAGAAACTTTATCAAAATTCACTCTCAATGTGGTGAGTTACATTGATCGATGTTCAAGGGCCAACCAACTTTGCATTCCTGGAATAAATGTGTTATCATTTTCATATCTTGTTCAAGACGTATTATCCTTGTTATATCTTGCTGAATTTGATCTGCCAAACTTCTGTTAAAGATTTTCGCATCCATGCTCATGAAGAACATTGGTCTATAGTTTTCTTCTCTTGTAACATTTATGCCTATTTTGGTGTCAGGTTAATATTGGCCTCATACAATGATTTGGAAGTTATTCCTTTCTTCTGTGCTTTCTGAGATGGTTTTTGAAGGATATGTATTATTTCTTCCTTAAGTGTCTGGTAGAATTTACAGGGAAGCTATCTGGGTAAGGTTTTAAATTACTAATTCAATTTCTTTAGTAGGTATGAGATTATTTGAATTTTCTATTTCTTCTTATGTCAGTCTGATAAATTCTGTCTTCTAAGGAAGTTGTCTATTTCATCTAAGTTGTCAAATTTATTTACATAAGTTGTTGATAATATCTCCTTATTATCCTTTAATGCCAGTGGGCTCTATATGTTCTTTTATTCTTGATATTGTTAATTTGTACCTTCTCTGTTTTTTCATTGATCTTTTCAAAGTACCAGCTTTTGGTTCCATTAATCTTCTTTGTTTTTATTTGCTTTTTGTTTCATTGACTCCTGCTATTTCTTTCTAGCTGGTTACTTTGAGTATAATTGGCTCTTCTTTTTCTAATTTCTTAAGGTCAAAGCTTATATCATTGACATTAGACCTTTTCTCCTTTTCTAATATAAACATTTAAAAGTGTAAGTTTCCCTCTAAGCACTGCTTCAGCAAAACAAATTTTGAAATACTGTGTTTTCATTATCATTCATTTCAAAATGTTTTATTTCCCTTGCAATTTCTTTGACTCATGGGTTATTCAGATATGTGCTATTTAATTTCAAAGTATTTGGCACTTTCATTTATTTCATTGTTATTATTTCTCCTTTAATTCTATTGTGGTCAGAAAATACGCTATGTAAGATTTCAGTCTTTTGAAAGGGACTTATTTAATGGCCCAGGATATGGTCTGTTTTGATGAACATTACATATGTGCTTGAAAAGTATGTGTAGTCTGAATTTGTTGAGGGTATTGTTCTATAAATGTCAATTAGGTTTTAGCAGTTGATAATGTTGCTCAGATCTTTTATATTCTTACTAATTTTTTGGCTATTTGTTCTATTAATTACTGAGAGAAGCATATTAAAATCTCTAACTATGTTATTCATTTGTCTATTTTTCTTTAGTTCTACCAGTTTTTGCCTCATGTATTTTGAAGCTCTACATTTATTTTGTGTTACAACAATAGATATAATTGTTATGTATTGTAACAATTGATAATATATCCTCATAAAATATCCCTCTCTGCCTCTTATTAAACTTTCTTATTTTATCTATTTATCTTTTTATTTTTTATTTATCTATTTATCTTTTATTAATATAGACACTCTAGCTTTTTTATGCTTACGGTTTGCCATCTATATCTTTTTTGATACTTTTACTCTATTTATGTCTCTGCAGTTAAAGTGAGGCTCTTGTAGACAGCAAATGTTTGGGTCTTGCTTTTTTATCCAATCTGACACAGTCTCACAATCTTTGCTTTTTGATTGGAGTGCTTAGTCAAGGGGCACCTGGGTGGCTTAGTCGGTTAAGGGCTGCCTTCGGCTCTGGTCATGATCTCAGGGTCCTGGGATCCACTCCTGCATAGGACTCTCTGCTCAGCAGGGAGTCTGCTTTTCCCTCCCACTCTCCCTCTGTACTCTCCCTTGCTCTCTTTCTCTCTCAAATAAATAAATAAAATCTTTTTTTAAAAAATGGAGTGCTTAGTCAATTTAACATAATTTTTTATCTGATTGGATTTTGGTCTACCATTTTGCTATTTGCTTTCTATTTGTCTTATCTGTTTTTGTTCCTCTGTTCCTCTTTTCTTACCTGCTTTGTGTTAATCAATTATTTGTAGCATTGCATTTTAATTCCTGTATTTATTTTTAGTTGTATCTCTTGGTATTATTTCTTTAGTGATTGCCCTAGGGATTACAATCTCTACTTTATCACAATTTACTTAGAGTTAATGTTGAATTAATGGTA